TTGCCCCTTGAATGGAGATCACAGATCTTGGCAATGCCACGTGCAATGCTCAGCTCAGTGCCCAGCCAAGCCACCTCCCAGGACCTTCCCACGCCTTCTCCTGAGCTTTATTCCCACACAAAGCCAGACAGGGGAGCAGGGAGCTGTGGGGATGCTCCAGTACAGCCACACCTCAGCACCCAGCCCAAAAGTGAACAGCTTGGGCACGGCCGTGCAGTGAAGGGGGAGCAAACTCTCCTGAAGTGAAACCACCGGATACAATAAGTTGGGAATTGCCACAGCACATGTTTTCCCTGCAGCCAGACCCCATCCCACGGGACCAGACCCTGTCTGGAGCCTGAACAGCAGTGCTGGGGCCGCCGAGGGAAGTGGATGCTGCGCCTGCCTCTGGCTGATGGGCAGTGGCCGAGGTATTTATAGGAAATAGGCAACATATTTGCAGCCTGGGGACAGTTTCCAGCCCAGGGACAGTTTCCAGCCCGGAGTATGCTCAGATTTAAGCTCCACATGGTTGCAGGGAGAGGTCGCAGAGAAGTGGGCGATGCCGGCTCCAAGCATTGCTGCCTCCTCCCAGTGCTCCCAGAGGTTGGGCTGCTTGCTGCGGCGTCAGAGGTCACTTCCCAGCTCTCCAATCCCTCATCCCGGCTGCCAAGCCCCCTATCCACCTCCCTGTCTTCCAGAGAGCCCCTTTCCAGAAGGGCTGTGGAGCTCCGGAGAGCTGAAGCTTTGCCGAGGGGCAGAGGGATCCCATTCTGAGATTCCATACGGGAGTTCACGCTTTCCCTGTGCTCTTTTAGCAGTCCCAGCGGGCCACATCCCCACGCGTGACACCTCTCCCGTGCCTGCGGCTGCTCCCGCTGCAGGTGATGCTCCCACAAAGAGCTCCCTGACTCTGCCGGGCTCAGAGCTCCTGGCACTCCGCCTGCCTGCTGGGTGTGGGGAGCGCCTGGGGAGCCGGCAGGGCTTGGAGCGGGATCTCCACCGGGACCAGGGCGGAGCCCGAGCTGGAAAAAACCCGGGAGCATAAAGGAAACTGTGTTGTCGCTGCCCGGCCGAGCGGAGCGTCCGGGGGCTGAACCGCGGGCACGATTCCGTGCGACGGGCTGAGAAATCCCTTCCCGAGACCTAAATATTTGCTTTTCCTCTTTTTCCTTGCGTGGAAATAAACGCTCCTGGCTGGGGCGCCGCCAACAACAAGCCCTTGGGCTCACCCAGCCCGGGGAGAAGGGTTGCACTGTCCTGCTCCTGCCAGTGGGGGACCCGGAGCCTAAACCCGGTGGAAAACATGCCTGTGCCTCCTGGAAGGATGGGGAAAATGGATGAGAGGCACTTGGGATAGGCACGGATTGCGAGAGGCAGCTCCATCAGGAGCCCCTCCGGCGGCAGGAGATGCCCAAGCGTTGGGAGCCGCTGTTTCCCCATGGAATGGGGGGCACTCCTCACATGTGATGCCACAGGGATACCAGATGGGTTTGGGGTGTCAGGGGGCTACTCCTGCCACCCTGGTCTCTGGGGTGGGAGGATGGATCCTCCACAGCAGGATGGAGGGGGGAGGCAGGGCAACTCCACACCCCGGGGATGCCCCTGCCCACAGTTCCACAGGGCACAGGGAAGGGCAGCCCTGGGATGTCCTGGGTGTTTCAGGAAATCAGAGGGTTCGATCTGAGAGGGAAATCTCGGCTCTCCACAACAAATCCCAGCCTGTGGAGCACACACACTGCTATCGCTGCCAACCACCCAATGCTGGGCGTGTGTCCCTGTCAGAGAGGCACATGGGACACCAAAACATCAGGAATCAGCTCCAAGAGACACTAAAAAACACCCAATTTCCTTCTTCTCCAGCAATTCAGCAGCTGTCAGACGCTGCCAGGCCAGCCCAGCACAGGGGACCCTGGTCCTCGTGGTCCTCACCACCCCCGGGGCATCCTCCTGCCAGGTGCTGGGAGGGGACAGGGCTGGGTGGAGTGACACAGGGACAAGGCACCTGTGAGAGCTGGCAGGTGACAACCATCCTCTGGGACGCAAAAGCCACAGGAACCAGAGTGTCCTGGGTGAAGGTCATGGGTGGCTGAGCCAGGCACCAGCCCGAGGACTGTGGGAGCTGTACCCAGCACTCCTGTGGAGAAAAATCTCCATGTTCCAATGGCATTCAGGGAATCAGGAATATTTTTGTAATGATTTTTTGGATAAACAGCAAAAAAAAGGGCTAGAAATCTGCTGTTTGGTATTACCAGAAACAAACCAGAGAGCGCTGAGCACAGTCCCTGTGCCAAACCCCAGAGAGGCACAGAGAAACAAATCCATGTGGGGAGAATCCCTGGGAATTTCCCGCAGGACCCAAACAACGGGAATACAGGCAGGGGAGAAGCAAACATCCAGGTACAGGAGCACCCAGGGATGCTTTGTGGTGCTGTAGAAGGAGCTGAGCATCCCCTTACCCTCCAGGGCTGAGAAAGATGAAAATACCCAGGGGAAGAAGCAGCAGGAGCTCTCACCATGGCTACACACACTGCTCATGGGATGCTGCTTCTTTCCCCAGGCAGAAATCACAGCTCTCCCCGCTGCAGAGGGAAAGAAACAATGCCTTGCAGGGGCTGGGATTGGGTACCCAAAATTTACTTGTTATCAGAAGGAAGGAGCTGGCAGAGTTCACCCCACCCAACAGGGATTACAGTTCTCAGCACTCCCACAACGTGAAAAATCTCTCTCTTCCCTGCTGATGGGAAGAGAAGGTGGATTGCAGCTGCTCCCAGAGTTGGTGAATGCAGCAGAAAGGGAGAAAAAAGGGTCAAAACAATAACAGATTGAACATGGAAAGGATATTTCCATGCAACAGCTGATTAGAAGAAAGAACTGGTTCAGATTTGATCCCAAATTTCTTTTTCCCAGGTATGGCCCGTTCCCAGCTCACCCAGGCACAGGATGCTGGTGCACACATGTGGATCCACGAAGGCCAACAGACAAGAGGCAGCAGGGACACTAAACAGTCCTGTGCCTATGAAAACTCTCAGAGGGGGAGACTGCAGCCAGGGTGTGCCCCAAAATGGTATCCAAGCACTAAGGGATGAATGGAAAAGTCTTGAGGTGTCACAGTTAATTAAACCCCGCTCCTGTGGGAGAGAGGAGCCGACCCAGGGATGTTGTGGATGCTGTGGATGCCCCTGGACTGTGGCAGGGCAGCTCTGCCCATGTCCCTGCCCTCTCTTGGCACCACAGCCAAAATCCCAGATAATTCTGAGGGTCTGGAAACCACAGGTCTTATCCGACAATTCCTCCTCTTTGCTCCAGTTCATTCGTGTGGTTGTCAAACCTTCCCTTCCCTCCTCGTGGGCAGAAATTGAGGGATATTTAGTCTGAGCTCTTTGCCCACCACCCAGAAGCTTTGGCAGGTACTTGGCTGCTCCTCCACCCCTCAGACATTAATAATTCCTGCACCTTTGGCTGGCACTGTTGGAGCTCTTCTGCCAAACCAGCCGTGCCGAGGGGTGAAATCTGGGAGCTACAGAACACCCAGACAGCGCTGGCAGACCCCATTCCCTGGGAAAACCATCCTGAGGAGGCTCAGCAGCTGGTGTGGGGGCACTGGGAATAAGGCAGAGGAGAAAGAAGACCCAATGTGGATGGAAAAAATGCAGGAGATGGTTCCCAGCTCAGCGCCTGCGGCCATGGGACTCTTCAAATTTGGACATCTCAGCTAAAAAAAATAATCAATGTGGAATGCAGGGAAAGAACAGCCCTATTTCAAGCTGCGACTCCTCCCTGTGTGCTTGGCCTCCCAGACGACTCAGAAACTCAAGGCACTTCTTCCTGAGCTATAAAAAGAGCTGGAGTGGGACTGCAAGAGCTGGGAAGACAAACAAGGGAGTAGCGTGTCCTCCCGCCGAGGGCAGGAGAGGGGTGAAACCAGGGGAAGGTCTCGCTCAACCCACCTTTGGAGGTGCCCCCAGGGAGGGAGGGAGGGAGGGAGGGCTGGCAGGAATTCCAGGCTGGATCCCACCCACTGAAATGTTGGCTGTGCTGTGTCCCAGGGCATCCCATCACCTGCCAACACCTCCTTGTGTGTTGGGTCCAGGATCCACCCCAGCCATCACCCCAGCACAAGCCTGTGCTTGGGGGGCTCACCAGGTACCATGGAGAGCAGGGACAGGCCATGGAGGGTCTCCCCAGGGTCACGGGGGGGAAGGAGCCTCACCAAAAAATCTGCTCCCCATTCCCAAGCTGGTGAAAGGGTTAACAGCCTCACCCAGCACCTCCTCCACACATCCCAGCAGGACATGATGGACTGGGTGAGTTCCAGGGGGACCACAGAACTCAGCAGGCTCAGGGAAATACCCACCTTTGCCCTCTCCAGACAAGTATTTACCTCAGTGGAAGCAGCCAAACCTTGCTGACTGTCGGAACATTTCGTTCCCGCTTGTGAAGTGCACAAAACATTCCTGGCTGGAAAAACACCACCGGGTCACAGGCTGGGAATGGCTCCACCAGGAGAGATGAGTGATTCAATGGCTTCATTGACTTAGTGCAGAAGAAGCATCTCTTCTGGGGGAGCCATTCCCACCTACGCTGACTTCTTCAACACCGAGGAAGTCAAAGCCTTCTCCTGCCTCCACTCCAGTGCTGCCTTAAGGCCTTGGAAAATCTCCACACACACAGCTGGTGGTGGGGGACACTCCTCCTGAGCAGTTCCAAGGGTTGAGTTGGACTGGGAGGCCCACAAGGAGCAACCTGAAGATGGCAGGCTTGGTGACCTCAGCTCAGGACAACTGACCGGACAAGGTGACATCACCTCAAGTTGCACCAGGGGAGGTTCAGGTTGGACATCAGGAGGAATTTCTTAACTGAAAGGGTGTTCAGGCATTGGAAGGGGCTGCCCAGGAGGGTTTGGAGTCCCCATCCCTGGAGGTGTGCAAGGAAGGACTGGAGGTGGCTCTCAGTGCTCTGGGTGGGGATCGGTCAAAGGCTGGACTAAATGATCTTACAGGTCTTTCCCAATCCAAACCATCCTGTGATTCTGTGGTGCCCATGGATCAGCAAGCACCAGAGTGACCTGCTGCCAAGCCCATGGAGATGCTGGAGTGCTGATCCCTGCTTTAGTCATGCAGAGGGTGAATTTAACCCACACCTGGATGAACAGTGGCTTCCCCAGGATCAGGCTGGGGATCTGAGGGTCACATCTGGCTTCTGCAGAAGATGCCAACTTCTCTGTACAACAATTCCCAGAGCCCTCCCATGCCCAGATTCCTGATCCTGGAGGAAGGAGTCCCTTCCCATGGAAGGGGGCTGGGAATAGATGATCCCTAAAGGTCCTCCAGGCTAAACCTACTGTTTAAAACAGCCCCTTGACACCGTAGAATTTCAGTCTCTCTTTTGGTAGGACATTTCTCCAGCTTGCCAAGCCTCACACCAATGGAGAGCATATCCTGTGGCTGTGGTCATGGTTGGTGGTGAGCCGTGAGGATGGGCTCAGCTTTGTGAGGCTGCTGCAGGCTCTGGCCCTGGCCCTGGCTTCACAACAACATCTTCAGGCCAGCACAGAGGGTGCTCTTACACAATCCCAATCCCCACTATGGGCTTGTCTGGGTGTGTCCTGGGGCCTGTGCCCTCCAGGAAGCTCAGCACTCACTCACAGATCCCCTCCTGTCCCTTGGCCATGCTGGTTTGGTGCTCCCATCAGCAGGTGCCTTTGCATCCCCTGTTTCCACCAACGCACCATTCCGGTGGCTGAAAAAGTTGTGGACTGAGGAATCAGAGCTCCTCCAGCTTTATTCATCTCCTAGGGAGGTTGCCAGGCTGGTTTGATGACTTGGTCATGAAACTCAGGGTTGTGAGGGGGACTGGAGTTGTCCAAATGTGCCCCAGTTGAGTCCTGAGCTGGAGAAGACCCTTTGTACTTGGCTGTGGAGCAAACTAACAAAACCCTGCTGAGCTGGGGATGTTTTATTCCAGGACTTCCATAATTTACACGCTATTTTTACCTAGTCTGACTGGTGGCCAGCTCCATGTGATGACAATAAATCCCAATTTAACACCATCAGCCCGTGCCCTTCCCGGGTGGGTGTTTGGTCCTGCCGCCCCAAGTGCCGCCCCAAAGGCTGGTGGCAGCTGGGTTTCTCTTCCCAGGGGGTCTCCCAGTGGTCCACCATTCCCTGCCTGGATTTCTCTGACCTTCACCTCTTTGCCAAGTGACCTGAGTCCTGCTGGGGCAGTGCAGCTCCTCAGCCCTCATTGCCGTGCCAGTGGAAGGCAAATCAAATGCTCTCCACACAGGAAAGAGGGAATTCCACCAGTGAAAGGGATACTCTGGGAGAAACAGCTTCTCTTGCCAGGTCCAGGCTGGAGATTTGCTGCTCATTGTTATCATTTGTCTGGTTTATTGGAATAAAAGACGGATGAGAGCAGCTCAACGCTCTGCAGAGAGCACATGGCATTGTGGTTTATTTTAATTAGCACATGCTGGCTGGAAAATCGTGTTTTCCAGTCACTGTGTTCACATGGAATTGAACAGGAATACAGGATTTTGTAGTGATGTTGCAAGATGCTCGTGCCAGAACATCAGGGAACCCAGGAGTTGCCCCTCCTCCTCCCGAGAGCCCAGAAAATGGGATGTCATGAGTGTGGAGACCTCAGCAGTTGTGGTCCACTGGGACTCTTAAAACAGCACATGGAAAGTTTGAACTCACACAGCACAGAATCCCAGAAAAAATGAGAGAATCCGAGAAATCCCAGAATGGTTTGGGTTTGAAGGGACCTTAAAACTCACCCAATTCCAACCATGGTGCCCCAGACAGGGACACCTTCCACTATCCCAGGTTGCTCCAAGCCCTGTCCAACCTGGCCTTGGACACTTCCAGGGATGGGGCAGCCACAGCTTCTCTGGGCAACCTGTGCCAGGGCCTGCCCACCCTCACAGGGAAGAATTCCTTCCCAATATCCCATCTATCCCTGCCCTCTGGCAGTTTGAAGCCATCCCCCCTTGTCCTGTCCCTCCATCCCTTGTCCCCAGCTCCCTCTCCAGCTCTCCTGGAGCCCCTTTAGGCCCTGCAAGGGGCTCTCAGGTGTCCCTGGATCCTTCTCTTCTCCAGGTGAACCCCCCCAGCTCTCCCAGCCTGGCTCCAGAGCAGGGGGGCTCCAGCCCTTGAAGCAGCATTGTGGCCTCCTCTGGACTTGCTCTGAACTTCCAGCCCTGGAGGTGTCCAAGGCCAGGTTGGATGGGGCTTGGAGCAACCTGGGCTAGTGGAAGGTGTCCCTGCTCATGGCAGAGGGAGGTGGCATGAGATGACCTTTAAAGGTCCCTTCCAACTGAACCCACTTTGTGAGTCCATAATAAAGTATTAAATGTCTGTATGTGCCTTTGAGAAAACAAATGGGAAATAATTCCCCTGTAGCCTGTGGAGCTGGGATCACTTTCCCTGCCCTGCAATTAGCCCGGAACAGACACAATGTATAATTAGTCACTCTGTGGGCTGGGACTTGCACATCCGGGCTCAAACACCAGCTGTGCTCCTGCTCCTGCTGCCACCCGGGGAACAGCCTGTCCCCAGGAAGTTTCCTCACTTGGTGACTGTGCAAAATCAATCAGCCAAGCTGGTGCAGGGCTGAGGGCCAGGATCCAGCCCTTCCTCCAGCCCTGGGCTGCTGTGGGACCAGGCGCAGAGGGGACGGAGCCAGTGGTGGGCGACGGGGTGAGGGTGGTGAATTTGGGTCCTGGGACTTGTGCTGCGGTGCCACGGGCCAGATGGTGCCAGGCAGGATGAGGGTGGGCACAGAATTTGGGTGCCATGGGCTGGGTGGTGCTGGAGTGGGCGATGCTCAGCCTGGCCCGTGTCCCACCCACGGGATGATGCACCAGCAGCTGCACTGGGCACCTTCTCCCCATCCTTGGCTTCTCAATCTTCAGCCAAAACTGCCCCTTCTACACCTCCAGCCCCTGTCCAAAGGTATTTTTCCCTTGGGAGAGCAAAGCTGGGATGTGCCACCCTCTCCTCATGGCAGGTGTCCACATCCTACTGTCCCTTCCCCCCACTGTTCTCCCTGAGGCCACGGCCGGTGCTGGTGGAGGGGATCACACTCCCTGCAGAGTCCTCTCACTGGGAATTTGTTAAAAACCTCTGCCTTCCTAGCTGTTTCTCCCCAAATCTTCAGGAGGATGGAGTTCCACAGGATGAATTTCAGGGGGCAAGAGCCCCCCCTGCTCCCTCAGCACAGGACACTCTCGGTGGGCAGAGGGGTTTTGGGGCAGCAACACATCCATCATCCCTGTCTTCCCACCCAGCCTCTGGTGTGGCTCAGGGCAAGGTCCTCCCTTGTCACTTGGTGGTCCAAAACCATCACATTCCCAGCTGGACCAACCCCAAACTTATTCAGCATCAAACCTATTCACCCTCCTGAGGCTCAGCCCCTCCTGGAGTCCATCCCCACATTAAAAATATCAGCTATTTCTGCATCTATCTAAAAAAACCCACAAACACTCAAACCACTCCATCCCAGCTTGCACTAATGAGAAAAGCAGCCCCCAATCTGCTACAAGACAAACTACTTTTTTTCCCTGGGGATGAAAATAAGTTCCTAAGAGGGGAAAAAAAAAAAGGCACGAGATGACTCATTTCTTCACTGCCGAAGCTGCGCTCAATCCCCAGCACCTCTAATTCCCACCGAAAGCCAGGAGGCCGAAAGCACGGGGGGTTCACAACAGCACAAAGCCCAGGAGCTCCTTTTCTTGGAGATGAAAGAGCCAGGAATTAATCCCCTGTATCACCTCCTCCCCCAGGATGGGCTCAGCTGCCTCCAGCCCTCGCTCCCCGCAGCCAGGAGCTATTTTCTCCCGTTCTTGCCAGTGTCAATATGTTGCTTTAAATATCTTTTTGGAGAGGCTGTATATATATAGCCCCACTCTGGTGCTTTGAAAGGAGCCTCATTTCCTGTGTAAGAACTGAAGTTCTTGGCAAAAGCTGCCTCAGGCTGCAGCATCCGAACCACAAGAATTGTTTTTTGGTTTTGTTTTTTTTTCGGTAGTAAAATGGTATTTCCTCCACGACCGAGAGCTGGACTGAGCTGGGTCAGGTCTGAAACCAGCGGGGCTGCTGTGGGTGGGACATGCAGGGCCATATTCCCGCTAATAAAAATGACAGGAGAAAGGGATTAATCGCATTAGTGGGGCTGCAATGGTGCCTGGAGGTGGCACAGCCCCATGGCAGGGATGGGATGGGCACAAAGCTGCTTCTAACCTGCACTTGGCTGTGTGAAAAGTTTGGTTCCCACATCAAAAGGATTTATTAACCAATACCAGGGCAGGAAAAAGAAAAAAAAAAAATCCATTTCATCTGTACCTCATACTTTTTCTCCTTCTTTTGCACCGTCTCTCTGCTCCTGATTTTTGAGAGGGCTCCTCCAGCAGCAAGGCAGGAGGATGGAAAACAGCTTTGCAACCCCTGAAGGATTGCTCAGGGATAACCAAGACCTTAAAAACCTTGGTAGAGAGGGAGATGTAACACCAGCTGTGCCCTGCCAGGAACGTGTCACACCTTCCCACCAGGAATCCCTGAGCTGGAGGATCTGACACCTCCAGCACCGCTCCGGGGACTCTGATGGCAGGAGCGGGGAAGCAGCCAGAACAACAATCACCTTCTGCTGCAAATGTGTCTTTCCAGGGACATTTCTGAGTCATAAATGGCTTTTAGTGCTGCACACAGTCCCAAGGAGCCAGCGTGAAAATGTGCTGTGGCAGCCCAAGTGGTCCCTGTTTCCCTTTGCTACTCCACGACTTTCCCAGAAGCAGCCAAAGAAGCTGAAGTGCAAGGGTTTTTTTAAGATTTTCTGCAGGAATTTTAAGGAAGTGTCTTCTCCCCGTGCTCACACTGTGAGGATGGATCACCCTTGGGATCGTCCCTGTGGCACAGGGACGGTGCTGGGCACGCAGCCACATCTCCTGGCACAAAACCCCAGCAAGTCACGGGCTCTGGGGGACAAACATGGAATTTCTGTCCCCTTCCACAAGCCCAGGCACTGTCTGCACCTCATGTCCTCCTCCCTGGGACGCAGTGCTGCCTCTGGGCAGGGCCCTGCAGTGGTGTGGGACAGGGTGGACCGTGCTGGAGCAGGACCAGGCACTGGAGCAGCGCTTGGGGCAGGGCAGGCAGGGAGAGTTGTGCTGGTGGCTCTGCAGCCCAGGAGAGGACAACACACCACACTGTGCTGCTTCCCTTCCACCCAGAAGCCACGGGGATGGGGACAAGGGTTGGAGCTCAGTGCACATCCTGTAGGCACTCCAAGGGCACTTCCCTCATCTCTGCTGTCCAAGCACTTCTGCCTCTCTCCAGTTTCACAGAAGAGGGGAGGGGACCGAGCAGGAACAGCTGAGCTGGGCAGGAAGGAGACCTTCCCACCCCTCCAGCTTTCCAGGGACCAGGTGGTGCTTGGCAATGCCACGCAGCACCTTTGGGAATGTGCAATTCCACCTGCACTGATGCGTTGCTGGCCATGTCTGGGCTGGGAACGAAGAGAAATAACCCATGGCAGTCCAAAACAGGAGGGAAGGGAGGGAAGGAGCAGCACAGCCTGGGAGCATCCTCCCTGCCCTGCTGAAGTCCTTCATCCTTCTGGCTCCACTTTGACCCTCAAGACCTCGGCTCATCCAGCATCTGGTCTTTGCCAACCTAAACAAGGAAGACCTTCCTTACAGACCTCCGACTCCAGGAGATGCTCCTCAATCCACCCAGGAGAACTTGAAGGGGATGCAAACATCAGATACCATGGGAAATACAAATATTTATCTTAAAATACGGCAGAATTTTCACTTTTGGTGGGTTTTCTCCTCCTTTGGACACCTTTGCTCTGCCCAAAGATTTACTGGACCGAGTCTGGAGCGATGAGTGGTGGTGAATCACCAGAAAAAGGGGGGGCAGTTGTTGCAATACTCGTCCCCTCATGGCAGGGCTGGACCCTGAACTGCAGGATTCGGTGTCCCTGTTGCTCAACTTCCCATGAAAGTTGTCAGCATTGATGGGAAAGGACAAGGGGGAGCCCCTGGGTGTGCCTACAGCTCCCCCCGAGCTGCTCCCACCCTGGAGGCAGCAAGGACAGCACCACAGGGACACCACGGTGGGACACATCCTCAGGGTTCTCACATCTGCATTCCCAGGAAAACCGGGACACCTGACCAACTGTGGGAGAAGAAAAGGGGCCACCAGGAAATTTATCCCCATTTGTCCCCAAACCCAGCAGATGGACGTTGTCAGGGCAGAGACGTCGTGCAATGTGACAGCCAGCACAGAAGGTCCCACCACCAGGGAAGGTCCCACAACCTTGGGAACATCCCACCACCTTGGGAACATCCCACCACCTTGGGAACATCCCACAACCTTAGGAACATCCCACCACCAGAGCTTCCCACCACCATGGAAGCATCACAGCACCACGGAAGCTTCCCACCACCACAAGAGCATCCCACCAGCATGAAAGTGTTCCACCACCACAACGTCCCCCCACCACCAGAGCTTCCCATCACCACCCCTCCCCACTGCTGGGGAGTCCCACCACCAGCAGAGCTTCGTAGGGTGCTCAGACCCCAAAAATCAGGTGTTCCCAACCCAAGGAGGTATTCCTCGGGCTCTCCAAAGGCCCCCTTGGACACAGTTTGTGCCTGTTTGGACTCTTTTAGCCCAAAATAGGCTCTGTGGTTTGGAGTGGAGGAGGGAAGGAGTCTGTACACGCAGAAACACGGGGAAAAAAAAAATCTTCATTTTAAAGCCATTCAACAGCTGAAACTTTTCTTAAGAAATGTCACTTTTGGAAAAAAAAAAAAAAAAAGAAACAAACCCACCAAGTCACTCTAAAAAAACCTCTAAAAGGAGAAGTTGGACAAAAAGTGGATGACCAAAACCTAAGGGGTGCCTGGCAAGTTCCCTAACCCAGAGAGAAAGAGAGAATTACCCAAAAACAAGTGGTAGCGGGGAATAAAAAACAGAGTGAGAAAGGGAATTGCATGGAGATAAAGTAGAGAAGAAGGAAAAGCCAGGCAGGGACATGCTGATTAGTCTGAGAATCTGATGGGGAAGATGAAATCTGGCTTGGGGAGAGGTGGTGGGGGCCAAGCTGGGCCCTTCCCAGAGAGCAGCAGCTCTTGGGAAGCCCATGGGAACTCCAGGCATCCCATGGCTGATCCAAGGAGCAGGAAGGCTCCATGTGCAAACCAGTCCCACTTCAGCACTCTGGATAAATAACAGATGTCTGAGGTAACCTAAGCAGAGCCCTGTCTGTGTTCCCTGTCCAGCCTCACACCCTGCTGGGTTTTCCACCTGCAACCCCCCCTCAGAGCTGATCCTTGGTCTTTAGTTTCATCCCCCCCGTGCTGTTCCCACTCTGGGCTCATCCAGGTTCGATCCCACTGGTCCTGCCCTCAGTTTCCCTTCCTCTCCCACCAGTACCTTCCCACCCTGGACACGGAGCAGGGCTGAGGTGTCCCCATCTCCTCCTGCTGCCACCCCTCCCTCTCCACCCTCTCCAAACCTCGTCCAGGCTTCCCAGCAGGTCCTTTCTCCAAACCACCACTTTTTTTCCCCCCCTGCTGCCCTCCCAGCTCTGCTGCCACCTTTCTCTCCCCGTGGGACACCTAAAACCTGGGAGATGGGTGGGAAGGCCCCATCTGGACACTCTGGATGCTGCTGAGGAGCAAACTCCATCTGCTTCTTAACACATTGGTTCCTCTTCCTGAGAGCCACACTCAGGGACAGCCTCTGTCCGCTGCCCCCGAGTGGCACCAGAGCTCTCTGGGAGGACCCAGCAGGGTGTGGCTCATCCCACTGGCCACAGAGCCACTCCATGTCCCATAGCCAGCAGACACAGAGGCTGTGTGTTCCCAGGGTGGCTCCAAGGACAGGGTGGCACTGGCCTGGGCACAGTGTCTGGCTGTGGCTGGGCTCGGATCCCCACCCCGGTGTCCAGCCCTGCTGGGGTCTGGGCTGAGCAGCCCCTGCTGGGCTGGGCAGGGCTGGGCTCAGAGTCCCCAGTGTCACCGCCCCGCGATGTCCCCAGTCTGCCCCGGGGTTCATCCCCATCGCTGTCACCGCATGGTGACACACTGTCCCCCAGGTGGGCAGGCCCGGGCGGCCACACCCACCCCACCAATCTGCAGCCACCTGGGCAGCCACGCCCACCAGAGCCCACCCAGCTCACCTGGAAGGGACACGCCCACCCACACAAGCTCTACCCCCTGCCCCAAACCACGCCCAGCTGTGCCAACACCTGGGTTACCTGCCAGGTGAACCCGAGCTGGCCCCGCCACCCCACCTGATTGACTCCGCCCACTCCGATAAATCACGCCCTCTCTAACATAACCCCGCCCCTTCGACTGAGCCCCGCCCCTTGTACCAACTCAGGTACCTGTCATGCCACGCCCCCGCACACAGACCACGCCCCCTCGCGCAGAACTTCACCCCCCCACCCCTCTGTCCGCATCCCCCGCCCCGCCCGCACCTGGGCGCGCTCGAAGCTCTCCCGCTCCGCCTCCAGGCCGCCGCCGCCGCCCGCCCGCCGGCCCAGCACCTTGGGCAGCGGGTTGGCCACCTGCTTCATGGTGCTGCTCATGCGGTCCATGGCGGCCCCGGCCCCGCCGCCGCCCCGGCCCCGCTCCGCGCCGCCGCCGCGCGGGCACCGCGCCATTGGCCCGCCCCCCTGCCACTCACCGTGGGACACGCCCCCGCCGGCTCCGCCCGCGCCCTGCAGGCACCGCCCCCGCCCCGCCTCCTGGCTGTTATTGGTGGATTGTGCTGCCACTCAAGAGGCGCCACGGGCAACCGCCAAGCTCTTTGGTGCTGCTGGACGCCACTCAACGCCTGGCTCCGCCCTTCCCGGACCGCCCCGCCCTCCACCCCGCCCGTGGGGCGTGTTCCCTTGGCACGGCTGTGGCCACGCCCCCCCGCTCCGTTCCCTGCTGTGATTGGTTTTCGCTCCTGCCGCTCGCCCCTCGAGGCCCCGCCCCGCCCCGCCTGTGCGCGGCGCCCCCTGGTGGCGGTGGGAGGGGGCACTGAGGGGCCGCTCGGGATCGGCCGGGATGGAACGGGATGGAACGGGATGGAACGGGACGGGCCCAGGCACAGGGCACCCTCTCGGGGTCCACCGGGCACAGGGGGCTCAGGGGCCGCTGCCTAAGGGCTCTGAGCCGCGGCTGAGCCCTCCGGGTCCGCAGGCCGGGGGAGTCCCACGGGTCTGCACGGCTGGGCCCGGCCCGGCCCGGCCCCTGTCCCTCCACAGCCGGGCCCGGAGTGACACGGCATAACCTGATCCGGGCCGGGCTCTCCGGTCCTGTCACCCGTCAGAGACTTGTGCAGGGTTAGATGGGATGTTGGGAAGAGATTCTTCCCTAGGAGGATGGGGAGGCCCTGGCACAAGTTGCCCAGAGAAGTTGTGCCTATCCCATCCCTGGGAGTGTCCAAAGCCAGGTTGGACGGGGCTTGGAGCAACCTGGGCTAGTGGAAGGTGTCGCGGGAGGTGGAACAAAATGATCTTTAAAGGTCCCTTCCAATCCAAACCATTCCATGATCCCGTGAGGCTGAGGCCTGCTGAATTGCTGAACTCTGGCTGGCTCCTGTTGTTTTTGACCAGGAATCCCATCCCACTCCAGAGGTAAATTTCCCACTTGGAACATTTCTGCAACATTGGGACAAATGAGTATATCTGTGAAGAGGATCCACAGAAATGGTGCAGGGGCTGTGCTGAGGTGATGCCTGCTGTGTTCCTGCATCCTTAAAAAGGCGTCTTTGCTCCAGGTGGGCAGGACCTGTGGAAAACCCTGCCAGGGGGATGGGGCGATCTGGGAGCAGCTGTTTAGAATGTGGGCTGTCAGGAGCTCTTGTGCAAGCAATTCTCCCAGCAGAACTCTTTTCCTGTGGCTTATTTTTCAGCTGAAATCGTTACCACACCAGGACCCTCCCGGTGGGGCGTGGGATGGGGCTGTTTGCATCTCAGGCCTTCCCGCTCCCTGTGCCTTGGATATCAGATCCCAGCTTCTGGGAAATGGCCTGCATGGAGCAGAGAGGCCATTCCTCCCACCCCAGACTGTCTGGATTCCCTGTCTGCCCTCTCCCTAATGCATTGTCTGGAAAGCTGCCTCCTTCCTTGGGGTTACTCCCAGGGGAGGTTTGATGGGCTTAATTCAGCTACTATTGCAGCAAGGTGATTAATAATTGAAGAAATGAAGTCATTGCTGAGTAAGGATGGAGGAAAGGAGGGCACTGGACAAAGGACAAGTGAGGGCTTTGTGATCTGGACCTCTCCCACCCTCTGTCCAGCTAAGAGCCTCCTGCTCCTGGACCCCCCAGTCAGGGACCACGAGGCTGAGACCTGTCTTAGCTGCCCCCTCTTGCTGAAGAGCAGAGTCACATCCTCCTCTTCCCTGTCCAGGGCTCAGAGCCCACCTTGAGACCTGGGTAGGAGCAGAGGAGGGCACCTGGATGTTTCTCCCAGCTGCTCCTGCCTCCTCCAGGAAGGGGCTGGAACAGGATGGAGCCGGGATCCAGCCCATGGGCTGCAGGTCAGACCCCCCTGGGCTGGCCCAGACCATGCAGTGTCTCTGCTGGAATGTGCTATAGGGCTCTGCAGGGATTTGGGGGGTTTCCAGTGGGAGAGGGTGCCTTGCTTCCAGGCACTGAGAGGGGAAGACATGGAGCTGTTCCTGTGGAGGGGGGTTGTTCCTCTGCCTCAGGTTCCACTGGGAGATGATGGGGAAGGGCTGGAAGTGAGCAGGGTGAAGGTGGGATGGGCTCTGCTCTTCTCCTCCACAAGCAGGTCATTTTTGGGCTGGGGTTCACCTGCTCTGGTGCTCTGTCCTCACTCCTGCCCAGGAGGCTGAACTGGAGGGTGATGGCAGAGCCCCTCATGGGGGTGTCTGGCCTGTATGGGCACATTGTCTTCCCCAGTGCCACCCACTGTCACATTCCTGAGACAGGAGGGCCTGGCTTGGGTTTGGGAGCTTCCAAACCCAATGTCTCACCTGAGTATCCTGTGCAGGATGGAGACCACGGGTCTGGACATGGAGAGCACACACTGGGCAGCCAAGAGCTCTGCAGAGTGTGAACCCCTCAGGTGCTGCCTCAGGCTGGGCAGGAGGCACTGGAGCTCATCCTCCATGCCACAAGGCTCCTGCTCCACCAGGACAGCCTCAGAAGGGACCTGAGGGAAGCCAAAGGGAAGGAGAAGTGGCAGGAGAGGGGCCAGAAGGGACTGCAGTGGCTGTGGGCCCTGCCCACAGCTCAGGGATGCATTTTTCCCAAGGGCTGGGAGCTAAAGGTTCCTTTTCCAACCCCCTCCCCAGCCAGAGCTGGGAGAGTCCCAGGGTGCTGCTGGGACTGGCCTGACCTCAGGGAGAGCACAGACCCCCCCTTGTTCCAGCAGGAAAACAGAGACACAGAGAGTCCCACAGTCCTCCCTCTGTTATCCCGCTGGCTGTGCCAGGACGCAGGGCTCTGAGCTAAGATCCTGCTCCTTTCCCCCTCCAGAGGTGGGGAAAAAGGGATCCCCTGCAAATATGGATCCCAAATCCCTTCAGCAGCCCCTTTGGACACCCCAAATCACAGTGTCCTGATCCCATCCCAGCAGATGAGCCATCCTTGGGGGGGGGGGGCACATCTGGAAAGCCCCTCGGGGAGGGCAATGGCTGTGACAAACCTTCCACAAACCCAATCCTGAGCCCCAAACACAGCCCTGCCCTGGGGATGGGGTGATTTGCTCAGACCCCGGGATAAAAACACCTTCTGAGCCCAAGTGCCCACCTGGAGGGCAGGTTGGTGGCAGGGTGGTGGTCCAGACCTGGCAGGAGGGTCCCTGAGGAGCAAAGAGTGTGCCAGGAGGAAGAGATGTCGGGGGGTGTTCATCTTTGATCCCAGTTTTTGAATGTTTTGGGCAAACCAGATGCTGCTGCTGAGTTTTTTGGCTGCTTGTGCTGCCAAAGAGCCCCTGGGCTGCTACATGGGGCAGGGACAGTCCTGGAGCAGAACCTGGGAGAGCATTGGAGGCAGAGCAACCTGGGATGGGAGAGCGTCTTGGAGAGGACTGCTGTCCATGGGGCTCTCCGCTCTGTCCTGGCGAGGTGTCCTGCTTGCCCAGGTGTAACCCCAAAGCATCACTTGACGTGTTTTCTGCCCTGCAGCCTCAGCAGCTGCCTCTGCCTGTTCAAGAATTCAAAAGCAAAGCTGAGCAGATTTCTAGCTGGATCTGCAGGAGAAGACCTGAACCCCCCCAGGGACCTCGGGCTGCAGGGGTGGCTGCAGGTGAGAATCCAGCTTGGGAGCAGGACCTGGAGGTGGGAAGTGCTTGCCATCTGCTGGACAGCTTCCCCTTGGCACAGGCAGCAGGTCCAGCTGGAGCATCCCACGGAGCCCAGGTCTCTCCCAAGGCAAACTTGCTTTCACAGAATCGCTGAGGTTGGAGAACACCTCTGAGATCATCCAGAGTCCAACCTCTGACCCATCATCACTCTATCAACTAGACCAGAGCCCTGAGTGCCACCTCCAGGGATGGGGACTCCACCACCCCCCTGGGCATCCTCTTCCAATGTCTAATCACCCTTTCTGTGAGGAAATTCTTCCCAGTTCTTCCTTTACTTCTCTGCTGTGAGACAGCTTGGGCTGCCAGAGCAGGATTACCGAGGAAAGGGTTCCTGTGTGGGATTTGGGGTGTGCAGGGTTGGGTGTGGGAGCCCTGTGCTCCCCCTGGGGCAGCGTGGGGAGTGCACGGGGCAGGGGCTGTGGATCTGCAGAGCCACTCGATCCTTGTCTTCCTTTTGTGATATGGGAAACCTTCTTGCTCCCCACAGCTCCCTGAAGGAGGTCGTGCTGAGATGAGGGTTGGGAAACAGCCTTGAGTTGTGCCAGGGGAGGTTCAGGTTGGATACTGGGGAACATTTCTCCACTAAAGGAGTGGCCAAGCCCTAGCACAGCTGCCCAGGACAGTGGTGGAGTCACTATCCCGGGGGGGGGGGGGTATTTTAACAGAAATACAGATGTGATGCTCAGGGACATGGTTAGTGGTGGCCTCGGCAGTGCTGGATGGTCTGGATGATGCTGGAGGTCTCTTCCAACCTTAATGATTCTGTGACTCCATAATTTCCATGACCCCACATCCACCAATGCTCTAGTGGAACACTATTTTTGAGATTTCCTGCAAGTCCTGATTTGCAGTCCCCTGTACCTCCAGCTGGTGACAACAGGAGGCAGAGTGTGCAAGAGCAACGCTCCCCGTGGCAGCCTCAGGTCCTGCCTCTCTCAAACCCGACACCAAATACTTTTATCTTCGTTCCTCTGAACCTCATCTGCTGTAGATAAAGCAGCCACGCTGTGCTGGAGCTGCTGGGCAGGCCCTGCTCAGCTGCTGGCCGGTGGGTGCTCGGTGCACAGGGGGTTTTGGGGGAAACAAAGGCATCATTTGGCTGGAATTTGGGACAGGCTGTGTCTGTCCTGGGAAGGGCCACCTGGCAATCTCCTGCTCCTCTTGGTCCTGTAGTGAGGCTTTTCTAGGTGCCCCAAATTGGTCTTGGAAGATTGCAGGAACTGCAGCAGTGTATTTGTGCCTCGCTGTGGGCTTAGAAACTGTTGGTATCTTTGTGCTGATATTTACCGAAAATATTAATCTGGAGGCACATCCTGATGTATAAATTTCAGTCCAGGGATTTCAGTGGGATTTCACAAGCTGCTGTGTAGCCCTGAGGGTCCTGTAGGACCAACTGTCCTGGGGAATCAGATGAACAGTCCTAGAGGATGTAGACTAAGGGTCCATCTAGCCCAACCTGAATATCTCCAGATGTGGCCACGGCAGAGACCTGGAAGAGAAAGGCCAATATTTGTGCTCCCCCTCTGGAATGCACTCCCAGCCCCCAACCATTTTCCAAATTGTCTTGAGCTTCTCCCTCTGAAATCCAAGCCCTGACTCAGCCACTTGGAAATTTCCTTGAGATCACCATGTTCCTTGGCAGGGAGCTCCTGGTGGGAAGAGCTGCCTTCTGTTCCCTTCGAACCCGGCTCTTGCCAGCTCCATTGGATGGTCCATGGTTCCTGCTGAGGAGAAACAGGGCCTATTTGCTTTGCCCCTCTTTCTGGGCCACTTATCATCTTGCAGACTTCAACTGCCATGTGGAAAGCCTCAGTTCTGCTCCCTGTTAAATCCAGTTTTCCCACGTTAGTGGTCAGAGGTGGTGTGGTGAAGCCTGCTGCCTTCAGGGCTGGGCAGAGGCTTCCTCCTGCATCCCACAAGTGTCCTGGTGAGGGATCCAAAGATACCATGTGTGGTTTCTATCAATAGAAGAAACACACCATAAGGCAGAGGTTTCACAGCCTCCATAAATAGCCACTCTTTAGGATGTATGATGTGGAGGAGGTTTTAGAAATCAAAATATTTAGAGATTTGCATTATTTGTCTTGGCAGGAAGGAGCAGCCAAGACTGAAATGCAGAATATTCAAGGAAGGAATAGAGTCGAGGAAAAGAGTGAATAAGGGGAATAGCAGAGGTGTCAAAACCTCCAAGAATTCCTTTTGGATGAATGGAAGCAGGAAACACGATATGTCTGAAAGGAGGGAGAATTCATTGACAACGTTGAGGCACGTTTGTATTCCTGGTAGAAAATACTGACTTTTCAAACCAAATCTTGACATTTTGATCAAACCTGAATGTTGCAAGAACATCCAGAACACTCAGCTAAAAGCAGCTCTGAGCTGGGCTGTGTTGGTGTGAGCCATCAGCGAGGAGGCTCCAGCTCATTCCCCAGCCTGTTCTCCTCCTCTCAGTTTTATTCTAGTCCCTGTGTGGAGATGTGTCAGAGGAGTGGAAGGCTGGTCTGAACAGGGGACGTGTGGAAGTTTGGGTCTGAGTGTGCTGGAAGGAGCAGGGGGTGGGAGGGGTGGATGTTGGCGGTCCCTGGGTCAGCAGGTCATCACGATCCTCTCCTCATCTCACCCCGATTTCAGTCTCACCTCTCTGAGTGTTTCCCAGTCTCCCAGTCAGTCAGATCTGTCTCCAAGCCTTTTTCAAGCACCTCCAGGCTCAACCTACCCCCTGTACCCTCAGGCAGGGCTGTCAGCCGAGGTGTGTGACCTTGTTGTCACCTCTCCTGTCTCCTGTCATCAGCTGTCCCCTGTGGACAGGGGACCAGGAGTTTCATCCACACCTTCCCCAGCATCCCTGAGCAGCAATGGGGGGAAAGAGGGTGCCAGGAGCTCCCAGAGCAGGGGGAGTCTGGTAACAGTGAGGGGAACCCTCATGGCTGGGCTGGAGCTGTGGCATGGCTGGATTGGGAATGGGGATGGATGGGAGCTTAATTTCCCTTTGAGTTCCTCCTCTGGGTTCCTGCAAGGCCTCCACTTTGGGCAGGGGGTTCTATTTTGTGATTGTCCTCCTCCGCAGAGAGACAGGACCCCTTTTGTCACTGGACCATCAGGAAAGGCAGTCTGTTCTCGTGGCTTTCTCGTTGTGCTGTGGTTGTCCAGCACCTGGACATGTTCATTAGCACCATAGAGACCTCACTCCTCCTCCACTCTCCTGAGGCTTTTCCTGGGAGCCTGCAGAGCCCTCCTGCAGGGATGGAGCATTTCCAGCAGGAGTTTTTCTGCCAGTGCAGTGACACCATTCCTGGCCCAAACAACGTGGGCTAAACCAGCCATTCTCCTCTCTGTGTGTTTGTGGCTGGTGGGACAATGACAGAGCAGTGTCAGGAGGCGGTCAGTGCTGGAACCAAATGATCACCTGAGCCAACTCTGCTGTGCCAACGTTCTCATGAGCTCCTGAAGCTCTCTGGGAGGATCAATGGCTGAATCCTGTGCTCAGGGAGAACTGAGCACTATTTTAGCTGTCACTGGTGATGTAGCAACAGAACCAGCTCCCTGAGGACTTGCTGCAGGGGATGGCCAAGGGCAGAATAGGAGCCCAGATCTGGGAAGGCACCACACTCCACCTTCTTCTCTGCACATTTATGCACTGATGACCTTCAGGGCCCCATTGAGGAAGCCCCCGTTGCCTCGGGGCAGTGGTACAAGTGGGGCCCAGCAGGGCTGTGGTGGGCACTGCCTGGTCAGCCTGGCTCAGGAACTTTCCTTGCTCCAGTTGCTGTGGCAGAGGTGAAATGTCTGTGAACTGCCTGTGATGCAGATGTTCTGGGAAACATGAGTGTGTGGCAACCACGGCCACTCTGCGTCTACTGCTGCGGCTTCTGGGGAAGAGATCCATCTACTGATCTTCTGAATCACCAATTCTGGGTTGTCTACAAAGTTCTCTAGTCAGGGGATAGGAAATGATAGGTCATATCCTGTTCTCTTTCCTTTCATGGTATCGTACCATTGATGGGCACTGCTCTCGCTGGGGTTCTGGACAGTTCCTCCCCAGGCCCATGGGGTGGCCTTGACACGGCATGTCTCCCATTATGTCATGGCTTTCACCAGTGTTTCCATCACATTTCCATTTTTGGTCACTGTCTCGCTCTATAAAGAGGGCTGAACCCAGGGCTGCCACACCAGACACAGCCAGGGGCACCCTGCACCAGTGCAGCCTGACTCCTACAGCTCATCTCCACCCAACAGGACCATGAAGACCTTCACAGCAGCCCTTGCTGTACTGTTTGTGTCTGTCCTCTGCTACCAGGTCTCCTCTTCTCCACGTGAGTCCAAGCTCTCCTCTCTGAGGAGCTCTCTCCATTTTCATTCTGCTCTACAAGGTCTAGCAATGCTTGGCAGCTCTCCCTTCCCAGCACCTGCTGTGGGAAAGGAGAGACAGGTCTTGCCTTGAGTCCTTGAGGGGAGGGTGGCTGTGGTGGGAGCCCACTGTGGGAACAGCACTTCCTCCAGTGGGGATCTTCTAATCCTCTGACCCCACTTCTCCCCACTGGCACTTTTCCTGGTCTGGTGTAATCAGGAAAGTTCACTTCTCTTCCAGCTTCTCTCAACCATTTTGGTCCCTGCTGCCCTAAGTTCGTCACCGGACCGCTGCCCTTGAGACTTGTGAGGAGCTATGAGCGCACAAGCAGCTACTGCTCCCAGCCAGCTGTGATGTGAGTAGATCTCCTGCCCTGCTCCTGAGGACCCTGCTCATCCTGGCAGTGCCAGGGGGCCCCACATCACACCTCATTCTGGCAAGGAGAAGCACCAGGCAGGGCTCTCCCATGTGAGGAGAACAGCTCAGAGGACAATCCCACATCCCAGGCACCCAATTTATGGATGTCTTAATGAGATCTGAGCCAAAGGAGCTTTTGCTGGTCACCCCCCCTCATCCACAGATAGTGGGACCCAGGCAGGATTGTGTCCCCAGGCAGGATGCTGGGGACAAAGTGGCTTAAGTGGCAGACACCTGTAATGATATTGAGCCACCCCCCACCCCATTTCCCTGGGGCTGTTCTGCAGCTGTGGAGGTGTCTGCTCTCATGAGGTTCACTGCTGGCAAGGAGCAGATGGTCCCACTCTCCTCTCCCTCTCCCTTTCCCTTTCCCCTCTCCCTCTCCTCTACTCACTGAATTTCCTTCTCCAGATTCACCACCATCAGGGGCAGGCTGGTCTGTGCCAGTCTTGATGAGAAGTGGGTCCAGGACATGGTGATTCAATTAGACAAGAAAGCCAGTGGATGAGCAAAGCCCTGCTCCCTCCAAGCATTACCTCAGAAAGCACCTGCACTCATGGGCACCTCCGAGACAAATCCCTGCTTTCTCATTGCCTGGGAGTTTGGCAGATTATTTAACACAGTGTTTAGCTCTCTTATTTAAGTTTCTGCAAAGGCAATCTTAATTTATTTGGCATTTTCAGTGAAACTTTTCATTCTCGTTTGCACTGATGGAGTCGAAGTTATTTTTGCATAATAAAAAGGATCAAAACCTGCAGCTTGTCCCACTCGTTCTTGGGATGCTCCACGGATACTGCGGAGGGCAGCAGTGACCGGGTCCAGGCTGTCACTCGGGGTCCGTGGGTGGTACCTGGCTGTCCCTCAGCCCCTCCGAGCATCCTGCCTGTCCCTCCTGCCTCCTGCCAGGCTCCTGCAGGCTCCTCAGCCCCTCTGAGCATCCTGCCTGTCCCTCCTGCCTCCTGCCAGGCTGTGCCTGAGCCCTGTCCTGTCCCATTCCCAAGCTCCTGCTCCCTGTGGTGGGTGGGTGGGTGTCCTGGGGGATGTTTTGGCGTGACGAGGCGAGGGGGTCACCGACCCCAGCCCGCACCTCCGGGCAGTGGGCAGGTGACATCTGGGCTCCCGTTGTCCCAAGGGGTTCTCGGCTGAGCAAACACCGGAGACACCCCAAATCCAGAGACTCCCCAAACCCCCAGCCACAGGGGGTTGGTTGTCCGTGGCCAGGGGTTATTTCTGGCGCTGCCCGGTCTGTCCTGCTCTCCTGGCAGGGTTTTCCCTTTCGCTGTGACCCGCCGGGCTGGACGCAGTGCCAGCCTTCGGGGCTGGCTGCAGCTGTCCCGGCCCGTGCCAGCTCCTCCCACAGCCAGCACGGAGCCTCCGTGGCCGGTGCCACACGGCAGCAAGGCCGGCTCGTCCTGCGGGCTCCCATGGCACTGCCGGAGCTCCCTGGCCCTGGGGCTGTGGAGGCCACAGGGCAGCCGGCCCTGGCTGGGTGACACCGAGGAAAGGAGGTGCCCGTCGAGGCCACCATGGCCCTGGCAGGCGCCCTGGAGCGGCTGCAGGAGGAGGCCATCTGCCCCATCTGCCTGGAGTACATGAGCGAGCCCGTCAGCATCGACTGCGGGCACAACTTCTGCCGGGGCTGCATCGCCAAGCACTGCCAGGACAAGGGGCTCTGGGCCGACGGGCCCTTCTCGTGCCCGCAGTGCAGGGCCTCCTGCCACCGCAGCGGCTTCCGCCCCAACCGCCAGCTGGCCAACATCGTGGAGGGCATCCGCCAGCTCGGCCTGCGGGGTGGCCTGGGCGCCGAACCCGACCCGGGTGGGCCCCTGTGCCCACAGCACGACGAGCGCCTCAAGCTGTTCTGCGAGGAGGACGAGGAGCCCATCTGCGTGGTGTGCCGGGAGTCCCTGCTGCACCGGCCACACACCGTGTACCCCATCGAGGAGGCGGCGCAGGTGTACAAGGTATGGCGGGTGGGGGTACCGGGGGGGGGCCTGTCCTGCCCCCCTGGGGCACCCTGGGCATGGCAGCACCGGGGGGGGTCACATCCCACCAGCCCTCTCCCAACAGCCCTGGTGGTACTGCTGGGAAAGAGAGGAGGGGGTGGCAGAGGTGGTGGCAGCCATCCAGCTGCTGGGATAAGGCTGGATCTGCTGCTGTCTCCCAAACTGTGGATGGATCCAGGCTCACCCTGTGCATCCAGCTCAGGATCCAGGCTCATCCAGGCTCACCCTGTCCATGGAGCTCAGGATTCAGGCTCACCCTGTCCATGGAGCTCAGGAGGCAGCCTGGCTCCCTGCCCCTCCAGGACCCCCTGGAGAGGCTGCCCTGAGGACATTTTGCCTCAGGTGCAGCAGTGCCAGCACATAAAAAACCCCAAATGCCCAGCGGGCAGCACCACCGGCCACTCTCCACCCCAGCATTGAAGGGGAGCTGTCACTGTGCCCTCTAGAACATAAAAAGTGAGGAAAAAATACGGGGGAAAGCAGAGGAGCGTGGGGAGGGTTAACGCTGCAGGTGGAGTGAAGAGCGCAGCTGCCGGGCGTGGGTGCCAGGGCTGGCACCGCCTGGCACCGGGTCACCGTCCCCCCCCGGGCAGAGGGGACCCAGCCAACCTCCCCTGCTCAGGGGGAGCTGCTGGGGTGAGCTCAGCCCGTGTTCCCTCTTTTCAGGTCAAACTCCAGAAATCCCTGGAGAACCTTCTGAAGGAAGCGGAGGAGGTGAAGAAGCGTGAGTCATCAGAGAGGATGAAAACCCAGGAGTGCAAGGCAGGTGCCTGGCTTAATTCTTAAAGAATGAGCTTCAGAGATATCAGCAGTTAAAAAAAAAAAAACATCCTGAAGGGTCTTGTCTGGGGACATGGATTCCTTATAATCTCCAGCATGGGACGTGTCCCCCTGTCCTGCTGGCAGATGTAGGAGCTGTGCTGGAAACCAGGCTCAGACCCGTGTGTGGCTCTGTGAAAAGGTTTGGAAGCATCAGCACTCCAGTTCCCCTGGAATCACGAGGGCTTTGTGCCGGTTGAACAAACAGACACAGGGTGTTTTTTATTGCCTTTTGTTTTACAACACGTGCTTGAGTTCCAAGCCAGGTGTGAGCCGTGTGGTGAGCTCTGCTCCACGGCAACAGGAACCACGAGTGCTTTCATTAAGAAAAGAAGAAAAAGCTCAATCACTGCACCTCTGCCCAACTCCAGATGGTTCTGGGAAGAGCAGACACCAGCAAACAGCTGCGTTTCACGTCCCTCAGGGTGAAAGATGGAAAGCAAAAGTAACTGCAGAAAAGGAAATGAAACTGCCGGCCCGAGTTATCCAGCCCTGAATCTGAGCTGATGATTAATCAGCTCTGGCAGGGAAAACAGGATTCTCCACACTCCCCTGGTTGATTACTCAGTTCGCTTGTCTGGGCAGCCCAGCCAAGGGGTGCTGGGATTTTGGGATGCCTCTGTGAGCCCACTGTCCCTGTTGGGGCTGGGGATGGAGATTGCGAGGGCTGTGTCACTGTCCCCCCACTGTGGGATCCTGAGTCACTGCTCAGCTGCAGCTCAGCTGCCTCCAGCTCCCTCTGGTCATGCTTTTATAGTAAAAGGAGAAAAAAGTCCCTTGTGAGTGCTGGGGGAAGTGGCTGTGGCTGTCCTGGCTCATCAAGCCTCCAGGACTCAGGGCCAAGGAATCATGTGCTTGGGTGGAAAAGTAAATGGAATTTAGTTTCCTTTGTCTTCTGCATCCTGAGGTTTCCTCACTCAAGCTACTGTGGGGTGTTTTCCTGCTGCTCCAGGGTTCCAGGAAAGTGCCAATTTATAGGAATGAGGAGGAAAACTAAAGCACTGGCAGACCCTTCCTGTTGCTGGCCTCTCACCCTGCAGTGAGACACCTGGAGAGCCCTCCCTGGGTACCCTTTTTCATCCCTTCTCAGCCCTGAAGCTTCTTTACATGGACAGATAGTGACAGGATAACGTTTAAAACTAAATGAGGAGAGATTTAGATTGGATATTGGGAAGAAATTCCTGGCTGGGAGGGTGGAGAGGCGCTGGTACAGGTTGCCCAGAGAAGCTGTGGCTGCCCCATCCCTGGAAGTGTTCTAGGCCAGGTTGGACGGGGCTTGGAGCAACCTGGGCTAGTGGAAGGTGTCCCTGCCCATGGCAGGGGGTGGAAGTAGAAGGATTTTAAGGTCCCTTCCAAGCCAAATCATTCTGTGATTCTAGGATTCTTCCAGCTCTTTCCCTTTGCTGTGGGTTTTTCCAGCTGCCCAAGCAGTGGATTAGTCTGGATTTGGCTGGAGGTTCAAGTTGTTCCTCCAGCTGTACCCAATAAATACCTGCTGTCACACCTGGAGGCACCTCCTTGCAGCCCAACAGCCCCCCCAGACATCTGGGGTCCAGCTGAGCAGAAATGCCCTGCAGCCAAATCCTGCTGTTGGTAAACCCAGCATGTGGAGCGGGAGTTCTGATGAGGTGGAAGCACAGTTTGCCTCTGGCTGCTTTTTAAAATTCATGCACTTGCCTCAAAAATGCGGTGTTTTCCCAGGGCCTTTCCCAGCTCCATCTCATTTTCTTGGCTAATATTGTCTCTCTTCACCTCACGTGTCTTCTTGTAAGGAGATGGTGAAGAAAAAGCGAGAGAGGATCGTGAGCGAGTTTGGGAAGCTGCATCGGCTGCTGGCTGATGAGGAGAAGCTGCTGCTGCAGAAGCTGGAGGAGGAGGAGAAGCAGATTCTGCTGCTGATCAATGAAAACCTGGCCAGGCTGGTGGAGGAGAAGTGCTTGCTGGAGGACCTGATCCTGGAGATAAAGGAGAAGAGCCAGCAGCCGGCTGACGGGCTGCTCAAGGTCAGGCCGTGCCACCAGCCCCACTGCCTCAGCCCTGGGGCCTTTGCCACCTGGGGTTGGCTGGTGGGCACGAGGGGCTGAGCCACACACCCAGAATGGCTTTTGTCTTCTCCTCCTAGGATATGAAAAGCATCCTGAGCAGGTGGGTACCTGGGCTCATTCTTGGTAGGTACCATGATTATTCCTGGTAAGGTACCACGATTGCTCCTGGTAGATATCCATGTTTGTTCCTGGTGGGTACCCAGGATTACTCCTAGTAGGGACCATGATTGTTCCTCCTACTGTCCTGGCCTCTCCAGGTTCTGAAGGAGATGTTTGTGTCTCCACACCAGCCACCTTGTCCTCCCTGCCAGGCATCTGGTTTGGTCCTCCTGGGGTAGACACGGGAGGGACTGAGACAATCCCTCAGAGGTTCCATCCTCTTTTTCCAGGGGCTCAGAGCCAAGGTCTTGCCTGGCTTGTGACACGTGAGGTGTGTCCCTTCCTAAGGGATGTGCTGCCCCATGGCCTTGCTCCTTCCTTCCCTGGTACCGGCACTGCTGCTCCCTGGATCATTGAGCTCCAATCCCATCAGGATTGCTGATATGGTTACCCCTAGTGCTCCTCCCAGCCACAGAGCTCCAGGGAAGCTCCAACAGAAGGGCATTGATGCCACTCCCACCAGGAGAGGGGCTGTGCTGTGGGCTCTGGGTGCAGCCCGTGGGCATTCTTGTCTTCTCAGGTGTGAGGAGGTGAAGTTCCATTCCCCCAGGGCTGTGCCAGTGACCCTGAAGGAAAACTACAGCATTCCCGAGCGCTGCCTGGGCATGAGGGACATGCTGAAGAAGTTCAAAGGTGAGGGGCTGCTTTTGTGCCAGCTCCTGGCACATTTGGCTTCTGCTTGCCCCCATACCCCAGGGGACCAAGAGGTTCTTCCAACGAGCTTTGTCCAGGTGGTCCCAGTTCACTGATGAGTTCAGGATGGTTTCGTGGTGGGGAAACCTTCCTTGCTGTAGGCTTGGGTGGGTTGTGAGTGGATCCTGAAGGCTTGGAGGTCACTCATGG